ATATATATATATATATATATATATATACATTCAATATATACATTCAATATAACTTAGCTTCTAATATATATATATATATATTAGAAGCTAAGTTGCCTGAAAAAGTGGTGGTCAGTATTATATTCGAAAATCCAGAAAGTAGCTTTGATGTTGAAGCTGTTTTGAGACAATTAATGGTGATTACTAGTTTGAGGAGGAATATCAAATTCCTAATCTGGTAAGGTCCAATATCACATTATGAATTAGATATTCCTCCACAAACTCCTGAACCTTCAAAATATAGATTTTCAAAGTTATTATCTTTCGATAACTCTGTATTCTTTCTTTGAAAATGATTCTCTCTCCAATATTTATGATATGGATAACTGTGGTAATTGAATTAGACATAACTGCTGAATTAGTGTTGAGCTGAGTAATATTTCATACAATTAAAATAAATTAATATAATTTAGTATAAGAAATATTAGAAATGATTGTGAAATTTATCATTAGTGACAGAAAATGTTGCGACAATTGCGCATTATCAACACAAAAAAATTGGTTGAAAATTTCGTTGTAAAATTTTGAATTAATATTTAGCTCAATCAACTATGAAAAATTAAAGGAGGGATTAATTTGTATTCCACTGATCCTTTTATTCTTCCACTGAACATAAATTTATTCATTTATTTTCAACAAAGTCACAAAAGAGATAAATCATCCAAAAAGATAAATCATTAAATCGATGAAAAGATATTTCCGGATCATCTCCTTTCTTAAATTAGCATCTGTTTTGGTTTTTTGGCTATCCAAAAGTTTATGCTAATATTTTGCTTGCTTTTTTGATCTTATCGTTAATTTATGAATAATAGAACTAAGATGTTAAAGCCTGAATATTTTTTAATTTTACGGAATTAATTATTTTTTATAGCATAGTAATAATATAACTTATTTAACGAAAAACAAATATAAATCTATTGCATATACTGTATAAAACTGTAAGGCATTGATTATTTTACTGAATGGAATTTTCCGGGATAACAAAAAAACTATACCATTGCTAATTTTATTAAAGATATTTTATCCGGAAATTATGTATATGAGATTACACATAACAGGAAGAAAACTATCATCGATAATTAAAATATTTGAAATTATTAATTTCAGTACATTATCGATGAAAAAAAAGTTATATTTTACCTGGAAATTATGATTAAAAACTATTATTGATAATTTAAATATTTGAAATTATTAATTTCAGTACGTGATGATAAAGAAATTATATTTTATCCGGAAATTATGATAAAAAAAGCTATTTTATCCGGAAATTAAGATAAAAAACTATTATCGATAAATAGAATTTGAAATTGATAATTACAAATGTTCTAGCAGTAAATTATGCTTTCTGAAATTAATGTGCAAAGAAAAATTTGCATAAAATTACTTGCGAAATCACTTTTTGCTATAATTTATCTAAAATTAGTGATATGGAGTTGATAAATAGAAATGAGTTTTCAAACCGAAATATGATATTATGCTAAGACTTTAATCATATAAGCCATATGGCTATCGGTTGTGTGTTTTCATAGAATGACTTTTTAAAATAAAATATTATGTTATGCTAAGACTTTAATCATATAAGCCATATGGCTATCGATGTGTTATTTTAGGAAGATTATCTCACTTCATCAGACTTCATCAGACATTTCATTATTTCTATGGAATAATTGGCTGATAAGAAGAAATGATAAAATTGACAAAAAACTTGCATATTTTTCCTCGTTATTATCATTCATATCGTCTACTAAATTTTATAATAAAATTAAAATTTATTTTCCATCAAATTTTCATCTCTTCCAAAATTCATTTTTAATAGTATTAAAGTTATATTATTATCATTTTTTACCATCTTTATCATCTTTATCATTATCATCTTTATTGCTATCATTTTTATTCATTTTTAAATTAGTCGCAAAAGAAAAAGGAAATTTGTCAGCACTGTAACATTTTCTGATTGATAAGATGAAGTACCATTCTGATTGATAAGAAAAAGTATTATTCTTTAAGTGATTTATTTTCTTTGATAAGAAAAAGTACCATTCTGATTGATAGGAAAAAGTACCACTCTGATTGATAAAATAAAGTACCATTCTTTGGTAATTTATTTCCTTACATTAAACAATAATTTTTTTCAAAAAACTTTCCAATGCAATAAAAAGTTTTTAATTTCTCGCAAGTCAATACTGTAACATTCTGATTAACAAGAAAAAGTACCATCTTGATTGATAGGAAAAAGTACCACTCTGATTGATATGAAAAAGTACCATTCTAATTGATAAGAAAATTGTGTCATTCTTTAAGTAATTTATTTCCTTTCATTTAATAAAATATTTGCAATAATTTTTGCAAAAAACTTTTCAATGCAATAAAAAATCTTAAATTATTCATTTTGTAACATTCTAATTGATAAGAAAAAGTATCATTCTGACTGATAAGAAAAAGTACCATTCTGATTCATAGGAAAAAGTATCATTCTGATTGATAAGATGAAGTACCATTCTGATTGGTAAGACAAAGTACCATTCTTTAATAATTTATTTCCTCTCATTTAACAATTTTTGCAATGCAATAAAAAATTTAAGATTTCTGATAAAAATTTATTTCATACATACCATTTCTTCAATTTTTCAACAGAATTTTGCTTTTGTTTTTGATTGAATTTCCCTCTTTTTTATATTTATTTATTTTTTTTCGAAACTTTAAAATTAGAAATTTGACTATTATTAAACTTCAAGTTCATTCATTATTCAAATTCATTTATTAAACTTCAAGTTCATTTAGTTCATTCAATAAGAATAAATTATAAAATTAAAAGAGGTTCTTTACCATATTCTTTACCCTTTTCATTCTTTACCATATAAGAAATTTTGATATCATTAAGAAACTTTGATAAATGTTTAAATTTTATTTATTTTAGAATTATTTAATTATACCTAGTTGCTTATACTAACTATTATATTTATATTACAGCTTATTGAATCATCTATTACAAAAATAATTAAATTAATCCTAAAATAATTCCAAACTATTTTATAAATCTCATAATTGCATATTAATTATTACATATAAAACATTGAATAAATTTAAAACAAAAAACAAAAATAAACAATTGTGTAAATTATATGCAAAATAAATTGGGGGGAAAAAAAACATACATAATTATTTTCTATAAATGTAATGTACATTTTATTTGTTGACACCTGTCATTTAAATTATAACCTGTTTGAAATTACCATTATAGTTGTTTACACGCTGAATCTGTTCTTCTACAATTAACCGATCTTTAATCTAACATTTCACCAACCATTTCCTTTCAATAAACATTCCATACATGATGATCGTAGATTATTACAATGATTCCTCTTGTTTACAACTAGTAATTACTTCTGAGTACTATCATTTTATTAAGTATTTTTTAGCATAGAAGTTAATTTAGCTTTTATCAGTTTTTAAGTTTTATCAGTTTATCAATTCTTATTGTTTGCAATTATTGAAAAAAGCTATCATTAGCAGTAATTACTTCTGAGTTATATCGTTTTATCAAGTATTTTTTATCATAAAAGTTAATTCAGTTTATCAGTTTTTAAGCTTTATCACCTTATTATTCCTTATTACATTAATAATTCATTAACTCATTAGCTAATTAGCTAATTAGCTCGTCAACTCATTAACTCATTAACTTTAAAGAACTCATTAACTTTATATATTAATAAAAAAGTTTTTCGAGCTTTTAATATGAAACAATACATTTTAACATTCGCATAAGCAATATTTTATTGTATTAGATTTATTTGATAATAATCATTTTCAAATATTACTTATATTAAAACAATAAAAATTAACGGAAATATATTACAATCTTAATTATACTACAACTTTAATTAAATATATTGCAATTTTAATTAAACATATGGATAGGACAAATATTGAAATGCTATCATTACTATTTTAAATTAATTTACGAATATTTCATTTGATTATGTTAATCTTTTCTTTATCTCACTTTACTTATATTTTTTTAATTTTAATTTTAGACAATAAAATTAGGTTTATAAAATTATTAATGAATTATTCTTCTGTTAATTACGATTTACGGTTGGTTAATAAGATTTCCCGTTTAGTAATATGATTTTTCGAATTTTCAAAAATCAAATGACTGGTAAAAATATATTATCGAAATGCCAGCATTTGATTAGAGGGAAAGAGAAAAGACAATTAATTGATAAGAAATAAAGAGGAAGTAATAAAAAAGGTGGAAAAAGGTAGGAGAAAAGAGTAAATTACGAAGAAGCATTTCATGACCTATCATGTTTATCATGTTTATCTATCATGTTTATCAGATTTGTGAATCTCGCCAATTATTTGTATTGTTGTTATCACTTATATATTATCAATCGCTCAAGCATTTTCTTCAACTATTTTTAATGTTGTAATAATGTCATAATATTTATTATATCTAAAAATTGACAGCATAATAACCTTTACTCATTTCCCCTTAAAACTGTAGTGATGATAGTATTATTATTAATAGTTATAATAATAATAATAATGACAGTGATAATAATAATTAATATCAATAATGATAATAATTAGCAACATTAAGAATAGTAACAACAATAATTAATAGTAATAATGATAACAATAATAATAATAATAATGGCAATAATCACTAATAATGTCATAATTTGAAATAATATATTTTATAATCATGATTTTATTATAACTTTAATGCATATATTCTATAGCATTAAAAAATCGTGAACAATATGAATAATCATTTTTTAACACGAAAAATTAGAATCATTTATCATCTTATGCATTATCAATTCCTTAATTATTACCATGTCATATCATTTATCATATTGATATTTTCATATACTGTTATTTATATCATTTACACTTACAAAAACAAACCATCATAAGACGAAAAAATTGATCATATGTTATGTTGTTGCAGAAAGATGATACAAATATTATTTTTACATCTTTTCTTTTTACCCCGCATATTTGGCCTATTGGGTGGTTTAATCGGTCGAACACAGAGTGCCGGTATTGAAGGTACACTTATGTGTAATGGAAAACCGCTTGGTGATGTACTTGTGAAATTATATGATGATGATAGAGGTTTGTTATCAATTTTTCATAATTTCATTATTTAAAGATTTTGTAATAACCATTTATGGTTCTGATATTTTTGTGTCATTAATTATTATTTCATCATTTTCTTTTGTAGTAATTGATTGTTCTAAATGAAAGGTAAAATATAATTTTTGAAAGATTGAATTTTATAGTCCAAATTAACATTAAAAATTACTACGGAAACTAATATAAATATTAAAGAAACATATCTGATATTATTAGTAAAATATTAGTAAGAGCTAAATTTTAGTCATTAATTATAAATGTTAGTTTTAAATTACAATTACAAATAAGTTTGTAATTTTTTTCTTTTACTTACCTCAATATTAATTTTAATTATGGGAGAATTATTGAATTGCTTAATTCTTCTGATATTTGTATGGTTTAATTTTTTGAAATTAATTTAATAAATAGAACAATAGACTGTAAAATAGATTTAATAAATACCACATATGTTGCAATTTATACGGTTCGTTTTAACTAAAATGAAAAGTAAAATTTTAATAAATGAAATTTGAAAATTTGTCATTAAAATGAAATATACATTCATCGATGATGAAATTTTGGCTTTCATAAAAACAATTAAATTTATGTAAATCGTAATTTACATGAATAATTTAATGAAGTAAGAACTTTATCATATTTTTTTATATTATATTATTATATTTATGTTATATATTATAAAATTTTTATATTTTATATTATATATTATTTTATATTTTTCTTTATATTTTTTCCTATTAGATAATTTTAAATTATATAAATGTTTCAATTAAACTTTCTATCATTTTCAACTTGTAATATATTCAAGAAGACTGAAATGTCGAATAATTGAGTAAAATTGTAGGAATATGTCGAAAAAGAAATTAAAAAAAAAGCTACCTAACAACTATTTTATTTTTTAGCACATACCAATTTAATTTTCAGGTTTTGATACGGACGATCTAATGGCAGAGGGTAAAACGGATAATAATGGTTACTTTCGTATTTCTGGCTCTATCAATGAATTTTCAACAATCGATCCAAAACTTAACATTTATCATGATTGTAACGATGCGTGGATTGTAATAGTTTTTTATTTGTTTTCCTTTTGTCTCAAATATTTTGCTAATAAGCAAAAATGAAATTTGATAGGATTAGATAATAATTTATTTCTTTATTTATCCATAAATCTAAAGTTCAAATTTAAATTTCATATTTTCATTTTCAATTTCTTTTCTTTATTAAATTAATATGACTAGCAATTAATAAATTCAGATTTAAATAATGAGATTAAAATATTTGGCTATTATTTTAATTATAATTAAATAATAAAATAAAACAATTATTATGAAATTAAATTACAGCTTTTGGTGTTAGAAAAGAAAAAATTATATAATTAAAATAATAGCCAAATAGCCAAATATATTAATCTCACTATTTAATCTGAATTTATTTTAGATTATATAAAGCAAAAATTATTTACTAATGATAACTGTTTTGTGCTTCTCTTATCTTTATTTAACATTTATAAATAGTTTAGCTGAAATTTTACTTGTAAGATGTAAATTAATCAATCTGATAAACTGATAATTTGTAGGATGTAAATCAATCGATCTGATAATCTGATACTAATTATTTCTCTGATAGCATAGTTTTGGGCTTTCTATTCATGCTTTAACATCTATAAAACAAAAAATTATTTTGATTAAAAATTTTGAAATTATTTCAGTATTTTTTTGCCTCTGATAGATTGTATATAAATTTCTATAAATCAACTAAAATTTTGGAGAGATTTTTTTTAATTTCGAATTATTTTAAGTAAATAATATTTTACGCAATTTATATTGTATATCCATCAAATTTCTCATGTATAATTTATAGTTTGTTTATTACTAATTAGAAGTTTTATGTAATATATACGTATATATGAATCACATCAAAAAAAAATTGCTTCAAATTTATTTTATAATCGAATTTATAATATGTTATCGAATTTATATCATTGCATTAATACATATTATCGAATTTATAATATCATATTAATTTATGATATCACATTAATATGCTATCGAATTTATGATACCACATTAATATGTTATCAAATTTATATTGTTACTTAATATATTATCGAATTCATAATATCATATTATGTTATCGAATTTATAATATTACGTTAATATATTATCGAATTTATAATATCGCATTATGTTATCGAATTTATAATATCACATTAATACATTGTCGAATTTATGATATCACATTAATATGTTATCATATTTATGATATCACATTAATATCGTTATCGAATTTACTTTAAAATTTATATATTAAATAATTCAACTTTCAACTTCTCAACTTCCTTTTTTTGTTTCAGCCTTGTCAACGCAAAATTAGCGTAATGATACCTGATAGCTACGTAACCAATGGGAGAACACCAAAACGTCTATACAATGCAGGAAACATTGAACTTGCTGGTAAATTCAAAGGTGAAACGCGTGATTGCATTCATTAAATTTTGTCGTACAAATTGTTTCCAGTATTTTAAATTTGATGTATAATATTTATGTCGTTTTTTGATTGTATATTTTTTGAAACTAATTAATTAATGCATATGATTTTTGACATAAAATTTTTGCATATAAACAATTAATAAATTTTAACAATTAAATTCTTCAATTGTTGAATGAATTTGTTTATAAGCAATATTTTATATCATATAATATATCAATTATCAATTAGTTTTTCTATTCCTATTCAGATAAAGAAAATTTTAAAAATAACAAAAACTTACAATCTCATGTAAGGCTAATTTATTCGTAGCTCAATTAAGCTACTACGAATAAATGCCATGTTGTCTAATTTGAAACAATCGAATAATGGAATACTTAATTTGAAACTTAAAATGAACTTAAATTATTGTAAATAATTAATTTCTATTTATTATGGATTTACGAGAAGAAAATTAATGTCTGAGAAAAGACAATAACATTTTGCTTGAAATATAAAATTTTTTGTAACGTAAAATTATTTATTATTTGTTTCATTTGACATCTTTTCTGTTTTGAAATTTAATTTTAAAAATTTTATAGTTTATTGTTTTGGAATGAATTTAGAGATTTTATTTGTGTGAAATGTTGACGAAAAGTAATTTCTTCGTTTTCATTAATTGAAGTACAATTGATTGATTGGTAAGTTTGAAACAAAAGTTTACATCATTCATCTTCTCCTGAATGCTTCGAATTTCAACATTTATTGCTTTTAGTTTTCCTCTTCAAAATCGTCTCGAGCCAGCATCCCTTTGTGCTTCTCCGTTTTTTCTTCTTAATTTTTTTTAATTAGTAAATTATTTTGAAATGTTTGGAAATATTGGAGCTATTTTTTTTGGTGTATTTAAATTTTGCTACTGGCAATTATTTTATTATCAGTAAATTAACATAAATAATTAAGAGGAGAAAGGAAAGAAGTGATAATTTGTGTTGTTTTAATTTAAGCGGATCGCTATTTGAAGTAGATTATAGTAAATAAAAATCGGTTGTTATTTCAATAATTTTGATATGATTTGATATGATGATAAAATGTTGTGAAATATTTTTAAAATTATTCCAATATTAGTTTCTCGATAATTGCATTAATAACAAAAGCTTAATTAAGGAAAAAAATAAAATAAAATAAGAGTGAAACTTTGCTTAATTCATTTTACAATTTAGCATTAAAGAATATTTTTGAAGTATTGGAATAATTTGATAGAAAATTTGTTTGTGTATAAAATATATCATAAATTGTTTTATCAGATTATCTATCAAGTTTTAATTATTTGTGATAATTTTTCATTCATATTTTTTTTATTGAAATGATAAAATATATCAATCATAATCGTGAAGTATTAAATTTAATACATTTTTGTTGTGATAAAAAATATTTGCTAATTTTTTCGTCATTTATTGCAAAAATATGCAAAATAAATTATTTAAGAAAAAGTTAGCAAATATTTTATATAAGTAACAAATTAATTAGTAACAATTTAATTAATTAAAATTGTTATTTAAAAGTTAATTTTTTTAAATCTATTAATTAACTATTATTTTGGTGGTGTGTGAAAGATGATGAAGCGACAAATTTTGCTATTAGCAATGTTTGTAATACCGTACACCTATGAAGCGGTTGGTGGTTTAATTGGACAAACGCAATCATCAGGTGCTAAAGGTTATTTGACATGTAATGGGCGACCTGAAACTGATGTATTGGTTAAACTCTATGATGACGATAGAGGTATCAATTATGATAAATAAGCTAACCATATATTAATAAATTATAATTAAACAGATTAATAAATTAAAATTAAAATGACAAATTAAAAAGCTTTCAATCCAAAATAATCTTCTTATAATAACAACAATTTAGTAGTAAACAATAAATTTAACACTTTAAAAATTGAAATAATTACATATTTTAATTCATGCAAAAAAACCAAAGCATTTTTGATTGTTTATATTATTTCCAATAATTTTTTAATTAATTATTTATTTCCAAATAATTTTTTAATTTTTTAATTAATTATTCATTTCCAAATAATTTTTTAATTAGTTATTTATTTCCAATTATTTTCAAAATAATTTTTTTACAGGCTTCGATTTTGATGATTATATGGGTGAAACAGTTACTGATTCTCGTGGATATTTTGAAGTTTCCGGATATAATGCTGAAATAACAAAAATTGATCCTAAAATAAACATCTATCATGATTGTAACGATGGTTGGTGGGTAAGGTATTTTAATTTATTCATATAAACAAAAATTAATTTCAGCAAATTTTCGATGGAAAGTAAATTTAAAAATTTAAAAAATTTCATGAACAAAAATTATTCTTTAAAAAGATTATCAATTAAATATTTATTGTTTAATTAAAAATTTTATTGTAGTTTTTTAAACAAAAAATAATGTAAAATTTCATTTAAATAATTTAACGAAAAAACAATTGAATTAGAATTTTTATTCTTTCCTTTATTTCCTTTTATGATAATCAAATAAAAGATATGTGGGTGTTTAATTAATATATTGCAGCCTTGCCAACGTAAGATCAGCATTATGATACCGGACGAATTCATTTCAGTTGGCAATGTACCACGAAAAATTTATGATATTGGAACAATTGAATTAGCTGGTGAATTTAGCGGTGAAACACGTGATTGCATACATTAGAAGGAAATACAATATTCCATTTTAATCATATCATCATTAATTTCAGTAATGATATTATAAAAGAAAAAAAAGGGGAGAAAGTAAAGGAAGACTTATATCATTTCATATTTTAAATTATATAAAATTTAATTTGCTTAATTAATTAATGAATGAAAAAATGATATGATTAGAATGATAATTAAAAAACGAACAACATTAATCATATTAGTGATATTCTGTGTAAAAATGTACAACATTAATCATATTACTTGATATTTTGTGTGAAAATTGTTTAAAATAAGGAAAGAAGAAATTGAAGAATTGAAAAATTATTTTATTGCAAATTAATTGGAAATGAAAAACTTAAAAAATTGAAATGAATTGTTTGAAATGGAATTTCAATTTATAATTTTATATAATTTAATCGATAATAAGTATAAAATAAAAAATTGTTTAAAATGAAGAAAGAAAAAATCGAATTTGCAAATTAATTGGAAATGAAAAATGAAATGAATTATTTGAAATGGAATTTAATTAAAATTATAATTTTTTATAATTTAATCGATAATAAGTATAAAAATTATAAAAAAACTTATTAATAGTAATAGTGATTTTACATCAAAAACAATAATATTAACAATTTTAAATTAAAAATAACAATATTTAAAACTAAGAATTTTTTTCTTTAATATAATTAATTACAGTAATTGAAGTTCATTTTAAGTAACAAATTAATTATTCTGTTATTCGATCATTCAAGTTATTCATTTATAAATCGAAATGGTGTATTAAAAAAATAATAGAAATTATAAATTTATTATTGCTAAAATGTTATAAGCAAATAATTCATAATTTTAATATTTTATTTTTCTTTATTAATTTGAAACAAAAGATAGAAAGAAAATGGAAAATATAATCTGCAATGATATTTCATATTTGAATTTGAATATCTTCTATCATTCTTATATGATGATTCATAGATTGAAATTTGTTAATTTTTCAGAGCTTTAATGAATCATTTATATAATGGATTCATAAAAATATGATGATTCATATAGTGATTCATAAAAATATAATGGTTCATATAATGGATTCATAAAAAATATAATGATTCATGCAATGATTCATAAAAACATGATGATTCATTCATATTCATTAAAATTCATTAAAATATAATGATTCATATAATTCATTAAAATATAATGATTCATATAATGGATTCATGAAAATACAATGACTCATAATTGAAATAAATTATATCTGCTCTATTTATATTTTATATTAAAAAGATCATCAGAATTTAATTTTCAAATTATGATAATTGCAAAAAATGAAATTAAAAAAAGTGTGTAAATCCAAACAGTATTAGTGTAATAACAAATTTATTACTGTAAATTTCAACAAAAACAGGTTGGCAATTAAAAAATTCTTTTCCACATTGATAATAGAATGACTACAATTTCATGCGATTCAATTAATAATAATAATTGCCAAATAAATGAATAAAATAAATGTCGCAAAAATGAAATTTTTTGATATTAAAAGTTTTTGAGTAAATTTGAAAAAATATATATTAATTAATTTAATTAATAAAATATGGAAAAATTTATAAATTAATTTAATCTGAATTTTCAACAAAATAATTTGAAGATTTTAATTTGCAACTATGTAAATGTAGTATTTCTTACTCGATTATTCGTCATTCCACTTTTTCCAAACTGTTTCATTCTTTATGGAATTGAAAGGAAACAATAATTGTAGATAGATATGAATGGAGATGATAAAGAAAATGAGGA